TTGGTGTGATGATCTAACACCTCATCACTCTTCTCTACAACATTGGATCTCTAGGTGTGATGATCTAACACCTCATCACTCTCCTCTACAACATTGGATCTCTTGGTGTGATGATCTAACACCTCATCACTCTCCTCTACAACATTGGAACTCTTGGTGTGATGATCTAACACCTCATCACTCTCCTCTACAACATTGGATCTCTTGGTGTGATGATCTAACACCTCATCACTCTCCTCTACAACATTGGAACTCTTGGTGTGATGATCTAACACCTCATCACTCTCCTCTACAACATTGGAACTCTTGGTGTGATGATCTAACACGTCATCACTCTCCTCTACAACATTGAAACTCTTGGTGTGATGATCTAACACCACATCACTCTCCTCTACAACATTGGAACTCGTGGTGTGATGATCTAACACGTCATCACTCTCCTCTACAACATTGGATCTCTTGGTGTGATGATCTAATCACCTCATCACTCTCCTCTACAACATTGGATCTCTTGGTGTGATGATCTAACACCTCATCACTCTCCTCTACAACATTGGAACTCTTGGTGTGATGATCTAACACCTCATCACTCTCCTCTACAACATTGGGTATCTTGGTGTGATGATCTGACACCTCATCACTCTCCTCTACAACATTGGATCTCTTGGTGTGATGATCTAACCTCTCATCACTCCCCTCTACAATATTGGAACTCTTGGTGTGATGATCTAACACCTCATCACTCTCCTCTTCAACACTGGAACTCTTGGTGTGATGATCTAATCCCTCATCACCCTCCTCTACAACATTGGATCTCTTGGTGTGATGATCTAACACCTCATCACTCTCCTCTACAACATTGGATCTCTTAGTGTGATGATCTAACACCTCATCACTTTCCTCTACATCAATGAAACTCTTGGTGTAATGATCTAACCCCTCATCACTCTCCTTTACATCACTGGAACTCTTGGTGTAATGATCTAACCCCTCATCACTCTCCTCTACATCACTGGAACTCTTGGTGTGATGATCTAACCCTCATCACTCTCCTCTACATCACTGGAACTCTTGGTGTAATGATCTAACCCCTCATCACTCTCCTTTACATCACTGGAACTCTTGGTGTGATGATCTAACACCTCATCACTCTCCTTTACATCACTGGAACTCTTGGTGTGATGATCTAACACCTCATCACTTTCCTTTACAACATTGGAACTCTTGGTGTGATGATCTAACATCTCATCACTCTCCTCTACAATATTGGATCTCTTAGTGTGATGATCTAACACCTCATCACTTTCCTCTACATCAATGAAACTCTTGGTGTAATGATCTAACCCCTCATCACTCTCCTTTACATCACTGGAACTCTTGGTGTAATGATCTAACCCCTCATCACTCTCCTGTACATCACTGGAACTCTTGGTGTGATGATCTAACACCTCATCACTCCCTTCTACAACATTGGATGTCTTGGTGTGATGATCTAACCTCTCATCACTCCCCTCTACAACATTGGATCTCTTGGTGTGATGATCTAACACCTCATCACTCTCCTCTATATCACTGGAACTCTTGGTGTGATGATCTAACCCCCAAATACCCCCTATATCACCCCCCTCCTTCCATGGTAATTGATAAAATAATGTCATTAGATTACAACTGTGGTAGAAAGCTGAAACTTTTATCTATTTGATATCTGCATGTTTTGAACATAATCTTTGAATGTTAATTAAAGACTTGTTGAATTATGTTAGTGATTTGTTGTTAAATAATGACTTTGAAGTAAGAAATGTTTCAGTGACAATTCATTGAATTATTATGTTGTTTATTACAGATGCAATCATCTGACAGCATTTGGTGGCCATTTTGATTTAATTCCCAATGACCTCAGTATTACTGATGTAGATGAGTTTTTTAGGTGAGTTTTTTTAGGTGTTTTTTATGAATCATTAGGTGTAGGGGCTAATTAGTGTGCCAAGAGGAGCTCACAGCACGAGAATTTTAACAGTAGGGGTTGAGGGCAGTCTCAGTTATAGGGAACTTTTTTGTTTTACTTCGATAATACCATGTCAAATGTCCTTGAAATAGATTTAAAATACAAAATTGAAAATATTAGACATGTCTAAAGAATGATTGTCATTTTAAAAGTGAGGCATTTACCTCATTTACCTCATTTAGCTCGAGATCATAAAATCCACTGTGACATGATGGCAGTGAAAATGGAGTTAACCCTATTATTTCAGTTTGAATGAAAATCCAGTAGTGGTAATATTGATTGGTGTTATATTACTGGTGTATACAGGGTTAATGGTAATATGTTATAAAGCAGACCTGAAAGATGGGAGGAAACGTGGTTTTATTAATTTAAAAGATAATCGGCCTACTGATAAACATAAATATGAGATCACAGTGGAAACTGGTTACAGGCAAGGTTCTGGAACCACAGCTAAGGTTTGTTACTGGTCTATCATTCTAAGCTTCGACTCTGATTGGGAATCTGATTGGACCGTAGCACAGTTGGTTTGAGCTTTGGAATCGTTACATGATGTCACTTGCTTGGTTACTTGGATAAAACTGTAGTCTGCTGTTCTAATCTTGGTCAGTATGTAGATGACTGGGCTGGGATAAATAACAAAACGAAAATTTGCATTTGATATTTCAGATTAGTTTTATTCTACATGGAGAAGAAGGAATGTCAGAGACAAGAGAGCTGATCAGTGATGATGATCATATTTTATTTGAACAGAATTCTCGTGATGTTTTCATAATGTCGTAAGTATTGATTTTTGTTGTTTGTTGTTTGTTGCTGTTGTTTGTTTCTTGCTGATCTTGTTGAGATGTTGATATTGGCCTTTATTGCAGGGTTGTTTTCGTTCTGGCTATTTTTTTTTTTCTTCACTCAGGGAGCTCAGTTCTCAGAAACAGCAACAGGTATGGAAAAACGGATTTGGCCACACTTTCTAACTCGTGGCTAACTGCGTACTGAATGTAAAACGAACATTTTTTGAGCAACATGAAGCGACGTTAGCAACAAACAGAAAATGGGCTCTAGTGGGCGTATTTATCGACCGATTTTGCTTGGGTTTCCTTTATTGTACTTCTTATAACAATGTACACATGATGGCAGTTGAAAAAATTTGATTTTCGCAAATCAGTTACTTTTTTTTGTCGAAATATGCTATTTCGGTTGCTATTTGTCGGATTTGAAACTTATATAGTGTAGACAGCCAGCATGGGGGAATAAAAAAACGCATTCAAAATTTTTGCATCTCTTCCGGTTTGAAAGTTAGTACTTCCGCTGACGTCACTTCCAGTGGAATTGAGTTATGCCCAAACTAACAAATGCATGATATTAGTGTCATTAATACAAACCTATTTAACTAAAAAAATACGTACCGGAAGTAATAATTAGGCTACCATTTTGGTTTGCCTCATTTTGCGAAAATTCCTATTCAGAAGCCATTTTTTATCCGATTTGTGTAATTTTTGTGTCAATCGATACTATAAATGTTTGTCTACAATTCGTGGGAAGCAAAATTTTGATTTTAGATTTTGCCTTTTTATACGAACGGATGCTTATATCTCATGACCTTGACCTTTGATGACCTTCATATTAACTGTGATGATAATTTGTGATCTTGTCTATCTGATGACCTTTTGACCTTTGGGGTCAGACAACTCTTTCCTTTTTTATAGGACCAAATATAGACCATTTTTAGCCTTTGCAGTGCTATATCTCGGTCCCTAATAGAGATATGTCAATAATTCTTTCGATTTTGTATAAATGTAGAGATTCTGAGCTTTCCATAGATATATAACATGCATACCTTACATGAAAATCCAAAACTCCATTCACTCAACATGGGGCTATTATTAGATAAATCGGCTAATTAGATTAACCTGGCTGTCAACCCCAATAGAAATCAAATTTTTGGTTAAAGATACCCTCTGTTTTATATTTGTTTTATAAGACTGTTTTATGTCCAGTTATGGTATATCAATAAGCTCTCGGGTGGATTGAACCATGCTATACTGTAAGTTGAGCTTACAGAAGCACCTCAAAGGGATACCCCCACTTAATTTACCAACTTTCTTATTTCTTATCCGATTCTCATCAAACTTGGTATGTATGTGTATAATCCAATTATAAATTCGACGGAAATATTAAATTTTTGTTGAGCGCATGCGCATTACCAACTTTCTTATTTCTTTTCCGAATTTCATCAAACTTGGCCTTTATTAATTGACAAACATTCTTTTATTCCTAGTAAATATACTTTAAACTCCAGGCACTTTTGGATATTTGCATTTAGAGATGCAGAAAGGTATTTACATCAATGTAATTGCAATAGACCATCTTCGTATGTACCTGAATGTCGTAACACACCCTGCATCAGTACTGTTATTAGAACAGTTCTAGTGTATGCTTGTTGTTCTATTTTCTGTTTTCGTTTGTTTTGTGCTTGATGAGATTCCAGTGTGCAGGGGTTGAAGGGGGGAGTGGTGTATCAGTGATGATGTTCTTTTTTGTTTGATTTTCATTTATAGTTTTGTGTATGTACTATTTCAATTATAATAGCTTGTACATCTTGATCACAGCAACATAATCTGTCTATTGATTCATTATATTGTCCCCATGGGCTGAATGTTATTTCTATATGCTCACATTCTGATTTGAAATGATTCCTCCTTAACCATATGTTTATTATTTGGATGTATAGTGGTTACAAGTTTAATGAGATTGTAGAAAGCTTAGTGTGAACATGTATATTGGTGAGATCTCCAATGAACAGCAATGAACAGTTGGGAGTTTCAGTCCCTTGACTTATCCAAAATAGTCTGAAAATTGTTATGTAAACTACAATTTTGATCTTATTTCATGATACTTAGCATACTTTTTTGGCCTCTTTAAGTTATTTCCAAAAAATGACATGTACACCTCGACAGAATATGTGCATGCCGCCATTTTGTAAACAAGCTTTGCTTACAAAATCTGCCTTTATATGCCCACATGAAAAAGGGGGCGTATATTGCCGTCACCCATGTCTGTCTGTCAGTACGACCATCCACAATTGCTCATAAACACTCTACAAGACACAATTCTTGACGGATTTTGACAGTTTTAATGAAACTTGGTGTGAGTGTCTGTTATCACCAAAGGATGAACCCTATTTAAAATGAGAAAGATTGAAAAAGTATAAGCATGAGTTATTGCCCTTGTTCTTGAAAACACGTTCAATTGTTAGCTCGACAGATTTTGACAAAACTTGGCATGAGTGTTTGTTATCACCAAAGGATAAACCCTATTGAAAATCAGAAAAATCACAAAATATTTAGTATGAGTTATTGCCCTTGTTCTTTAAAACATGTTCAAGCCCTAAACACTCCAGAAGGCATAGTTCTTGATGGATTTTGATGAAACTTGGTATGAATGTTCGTAATCACCCAAGGATAAACCCTATTGAAAATCAAAAGAATCGAAAAATATTTAGTATGAGTTGTTGCCCTTGTTCTTGAAAACGCTTCAATTTTTAGCACATAAACACTCTAGAAGACACATGACATGACAGATTTTGACAAAACTTGGTTTGAGTGTATGTAGTCACCCAAAGATGAACCCTATTGAAAATCAGAAAAATCGAAAAATATTTAGTATGAGTTATTGCCCTTGTTCTTGAAAACATGTTCAATTTTTTAGTTCGTGAACACTCTCTAGCCTGGCAAGCAATATTTCTTTAAGGCATGATCAATTTTGTCTTTCAGCTTACCGGATAGTTTAGGAAGATTATGGAAGGTTCAGTTGTGGCATAATAACCATGGGACGTCCCCTAGTTGGTATCTTAGTAGGGTTATCATTAAAGACCTGTGCAATGGTAAAATGTCTTATTTCCTGTGTGAGAAATGGTTTGCTGTAGAAGAAGATGATGGAAAGGTTGAACGAGAAATTATGGTCCTGGATTCAAATTTGGGATTTTCTAGGGTAAACAGCTATGATAATTAATTATCCAATTTGATACGCATACATAGAAATATGTTTTATAAAATAGAAGACAAACCATTTCACAAAGTTTTTTACTGGTCCATTTTTAGTTGATCCAAATAATGTGGATATTCTATAGCACAGCACATGAGTAAATGTTTACATTTCCACAGTTTGAAAAAGATGTTTCAATGTTATTTTGCAGGTGTTTTGGGCCAAAGGTACACAGTATGTAGCAGATTTTCATCTATGGTTATCCCCTTACACGTGTCCATCCTACAGTCGTTTCACACGCATTGAAAGATTGACATGTTGTTTAACTGTCTTACTGTTGTACATGTGTTTAAATGCTGTTTGGTATCAATCTAAGGTGGAGGTGAATATTTTTTTTATACCTTTTTTGGACAGGACTCAATCCACTTATTCAAATAGGATCGTTTTATGGATTGAATCACCAAATTCAACCTTCTATAACTTTTTCCAAAAATTTTGTTGAAACATTTCCTTCATGTTACATTAAAGCTTGGCCAATATGTATCTGGACAATAATTTAATATATGATGCTCATGAAAATTTTGAGTTAGACAAATCAAAAGTAGACAACTGTCAGATATAAACATCTGTCTGTTCAGAAAACACCTATTTTTACACATATTCCTCTACTTCTAGATCTCTTTTCTTATTTCTTAAAATCTGAAAGAAATGACAATTACAGACATCAACATCCAAATCAAGACTATAAAAAGACATGACGTGTTTATTTCAGTATCGAGGTGAATTTGGTCTGTTAGATTTATCATTAAGAAATATCACTGTTGGAGTGATTCTTAGCTGCATTGTTCTACCTTTGAATTTATTTCTAGCATTTCTCTTCAGACGTAGCAAGGTAAATATTTCTCGTTTTGATTATATTTAATGCATATTATTTTCAAAATTCATATTATTTTGAAAATCCGTGGACACTTTTGAAGATAATAAAGTCATAACCCAGGATCATCATATATATAATGATAACAAGTTTGAGAGTGGTGAATGGGGGAAAGAGCCAGGCTATTCGCAATTCTGGGTGAACAATGGAAAAGTTTCTTCATTTATAAGTGATATACTCCCTCATATGAAAAGTTCATTTCCTGCTACCTATGTTTTGTCAAACAAACTGTTATTTTAGATAGTTGGCACTTGGAGTATGTCTATTTATGATTGATGTATTTCTTCATATGAATAGTTCATTATTTTGGATTTCAAGTTTTCTTTTGGAGTTTGGATCATAAGTATTTGATTTTATTTATTTAATGTGAAATTTGTTTTCAGAAACGCTATCCTTGCCCTGAACCTGACAAGATTTATCCCAGTGGGAAACAAAATGGTGAACAAATTTCCGAAACAGATGAAGGTCAAATACAACCAGTGATGACCTATTCTATTTTGGATCAATCCATATTGAACTGGCAAGGAATACAGGACTGGGCTCAGAAACAGTGGCGAAAACGTCATGGTTCAGAACATTCGAATGTTGTTAGCGTGAAATCATTGCCTCATCATCAGCCTCAACAGCTTGAAGCTGATTCTGAACAAGACCCTAACTCCAACTTGCCCACAGTTGGGTTGACTACTGGGACAGTTCCCCCTACAAGAACTACTGACCACCTACAGACTCAAGAATCTCCACCTCACAGTCCTGGTCAATTGTCGAGTAGTCCTCAATCCTCACCACCTTCTCCTTATCACCCACATCCTCCTCCTTACAACTGGAGTCTCTCCCAAGGTCCATTTTATGGTCCCCGCTACCTACCATCGTGTCAACAAAAAGCCGCCCCTTTAACTTGTAGGAGCTTGCCCTCTAATAGTCATGAGTTACCAGTCCTACATGTTCCAGTGTTACAGAATGTGAAACGTGGTTATGAAACAGATCAAGCCTCCAGCGGATTCGTGGACGCCACTAGCCAGTCTCAAGCTACGGCTGATCGTACGAGAATCAAACTTTATTCAGAAACCAGCTCAAGTGGAAGACAGTCAAATACAGGTAAGAAAACTCCAGTGAATTATTTTTGGAAAACATGAAACCTTATCTCACTGCATCTTCACAATGTCGAGCTTTTACGAACTGTGTCTATTATATCTTGACTGCATTAGCCAAAATAGTCACAAGCCTCCAATGGAGGGTATGATCACTCATTTAATGAAACAATATTTTGAAATTTCTTAGAAATGAAGAAACATAGAAACCTTATTATTGGGATAATAAACTGATGCCCTGTGTGCATAAAACAACATCACAAATTGAAAAGGGTAGGGCAAATGCTTCTTTTCTGGCAAAATTGTCCTCATTTTACGCTGCATGGCATTGGCATTCCCATCATCCCACAAAAGGACCTTTTGAAAAGGTACAGAATAAGAATAGTAGGACCTTAAATGACATCCATTTCCTTTTTTTTTTACAGAATATATTGACAATGGAAGAAAGTGGAGGTTATTTTTACCATTCTGGTGTCGTTATATGGCCTGGTTTCTGTGTATATCTATAATATTAGGTTGTATAGTTATAACAATCCTGTATGGCTTCAGGTTATTATATTTCCTTATTTCTTATACAACTTCAGTTCATGAGGATCCTTTCTACCAGCCAGTCCTTGACCAGACCCCTTCCCAGAACTTTCCAGGATTATCCATATCCATTTACAGTTGAGTCAACTGTCACCAGATTTTCACAAGTTGACAGATATTAGAATCCATGTTCACCATTTGTTGAAAGAACCAAGTTCATGATGTCATGTAAAAGTTCCCAATGTATTAACCCACTGTGTTACAGAACTTCTGCTAAACTATGATTGCAAGATATTGACAAATATTTAAGAGGCTTTAAAGGAGTTTTCTAGATTGTGTCTGTGTATCAGGACCAGAATTATTTGATGTTATAAAATGCTTAGTTTTAGTAGAATTGATATTGTTCTGTATACACATAGAAAAAGTATCTAATAATAAACCAAAGCTCTGTGCTTGTTAAACATTCTTCAATAGTTTGAAATTGAAAACACGTAGGTTTACACACTGCATGAAGAGTAGTATGAAAATATTCATTTATTTTTAATTTCAGATTTGGTTACAATAAAAGCATGCAGTGGTTACAATCTTTATATTTTACCTTTATGATATGTGTTTTTATCACACAACCATTATTGGTGAGTTTGTCTGCCTCAAAAAACTAGCAACCCCAAAATGGGTCTTGATGAACTCCCAGTCAAAACAAAGCAATGTTAATTGTTAGACCCTAAACAATGACGATATCATATCAGTATAACACTGTGAAACTTATATAGACCAGAATCACAGCTGTAACTTCATGCTTTTCAGTTCACTTGAAGCCTGACATTGCAGATTTAGTGATTTACTCATAATATCAGATCTGAATACTATATGGTATAACTGTCCTGAACAGTATTCACAACCTCATCTACAGAATACATGTAATTTTCAGCCATTTCCAAACAAAAATATCTGAAATTTTCACAGAATGACCTTGCTGTGTTTACATTTAGTTTGATTCTGGCAAATGTACAAGCCTCAGATGGAACAAATAATTAATTAAATATCTGATTGCCTGTTCAGTAGGCCAAACTGCTTCAACTGCTTCTCAAATTCTATTTTATTAGGATACCCCATCAATGCAAGTATTTTCCCATGACTTTTAACCTGACAGGCACATGTATTTGACCACAATTTTTGAGGAATTAAAAAAGATTTTTGGCTCAACCAATTGAACTGAAATTTATTATGTATGTTACAGATTTTGGCTGTTGTATTATACACTGCTTTGTGCTATCGAAATGATCCGGCCATTTTGAATCACCATGATGATGGTTACTATGGTAACAGGATTGATCCAAGAAAGAAATCAGAAGAATTGTATTGTGAATCCTGTGATCCTAGGGAAGAACTTCAAAAGGTGAATTTCAATATTCAATTTCAGAAATCAACATTAAAGTTTTCTAAATTATTTGATTTGGACTTATTCTTATTTACAGCAGTAGATATTTTCATTTACAGAAAGTGTTCAGTTCTATCAGATTATAAAGATTGAATCTGTATCTTTTTATATAATATAAATAAACAATATATTGGTTGTACTTAGAATACAACACATCAAATATATAGCTCCTCTCAAATCAACTCAGTTGTTTTAAAATGGATGTTGTTCTACCTTTCAGTGATGCAGGTCAGAGGGGCTAACAAGAAAAAACCAAAGCTTTGCGCATTAAAGATCCCTTGACATAAGAATAGCCTAATGTCGCTTTACTGGCAAAGTTTTCTTCATTACTTACAGCATGTCCTGAATAACCTAGACAGATGCAGAAAGTAGTACAAAAATCTTCTTTTCCACATGTAACTCAACATTTTAATATCCCACAGTTGACTTCATTCTGTTGAAAAGTTACATAATTATTGTTTTTGTGTTATAGGGAGTTGCTGAAAGGCAAAGATCAAGATATTTAAGATTTGCTAGACCACCTCATGAAAAAACATTAATTGAAGCCAGAAAGAGAACTATCAAGGAAAAGAGAGCATTTGAATTGCTGAGGTAAAGTAAACTGTTTCAAATGAAATAGGTAGCTGCAGTGGTTCAGTCAAGATCCAGGGCTCAATCCCAGCAAAGTTGTTTGGATGGTACAGTAAACTAACCATGCTACAGGCTGTGCCGGTTGAAATAAAAAGTGAAGGTTGAATATTTCATACTAGTAATTGTTACTGTTCTGCCAAATATTTTTATTTAAAATCAAAGCTGACAGTGGGCGTATATTATCTTGCCTGGAAAGTTGATCTGTTGATCTTCAATATGGTTTATCTTTTGGTGATTACAAACACTCACACCAAGTTTCATCAAAATCAGGCAAGAAATGTGCCTTCTTGGGTGTCAACAAGATTGTGGATGGAGCTATATTTTATGTGGAGGTAAAGGATAAGGTAAATTTCCTGGTTTCGCATGGTGCCCATGGCCTAATACTTAGTATGTAGTCAAAACTTTA